TTAAGACCCTTGGTTAAATTTTTATATTTCTCAGACAACCCAGGAACATATGGTATCGTGAAATATGGAACTTTATCAATGCTCTCATCGTTCGTAACGTGTCTATCATTAAGTAAAAATCTCAAGCGCTCATGTATCGTCCCAAAAATAAATTCCAACGGATAACAATTATTTATCAGAATTTGGATCAAAAATCTTATGTTTTTTTGATGAAATCTCGGGTGCGACAGCTTAAATACTCGATCGATCAAACCGATGACCGTGCCCTTTTTCTGACAGAGTGGATGTTGAGATAGGAAATTTAAATATCTTCCGGAAAAAGTGGGTTTGTGGAACCAGTCAAATTGCAAATGCTCGCCTATGTGAAACATGGTGACCTCCCCCCCTGGAGGAAGTTCAATTTGCCACCCACACCGATCTCCATAGTAAATTGCAATCTGGGGTGAAATGAGTTGAATGTTTCTAATACGTGAGTGCATTCATTAAGAGGCACTGCCATTGCAATATCGTCCACGTATCTCTTATAAAAGGAAGGAGCAAACTTCAAGCTTCCGAGCGCTCTAACCTCCAGGTCTTGCATCACGATATCCGCCCCTATGGGTGACAAAGGGGAACCCATAGGAGAACCGAAGGTTTGCTGATATATAACTCCATTAAAAACAAAAAAGGTCGATTCTAATACCAATCTTACTGCCTGGAGAAATTCAGACTCAGGAATCGAGCAACTCTCAGAAATATAATTCCACCTTTTTGCAATGCTGTCAATAATCATTTCCGTAGGCACGTTAGTAAAAAGAGAGATAACGTCAAGAGACATTAAAGTATAATCTTCTCTAATATGGGTTTCGGATAGCTTTTTGACCAAGTCAAAGCTATTCGAGACATGACTATCTCCTTTAGGAAAGCTATTAAACATGACTTTATGGAGAAAAGCAGCCAAATTGTACAACGGGCTATCCACACATGAAACGATGATTCTAAGAGGACAATTAATTTTGTGGATCTTCGGGAGTCCGTACGCTCTCGGCAAATTTCCGTCACTACAATAAAGCCATCTGTACAATGAGTCTGAGATGAATTCTGATTTCCTCCATCTAGTCAAAAGCTCTCGAACCCGAGTTGTTACCTTTCTAATTGGATCTCTAGAGACAATCTTGTAAGTATCTGTATCTCTTAAGAGTTCCTCCATACTGGCTATATATTTATCTTTGTCCATTGCTACCGTGACGTTACCTTTGTCAGCCCTCGTTAAGATTAAATTAGAATTATTATCCATAAAATTCTTTGTAGCAATCGACAAATGTTTCATCGCGTTATCGTGTGCACTTTCTTGCACCTCGTAACCCCGAAGACTATTCACCATATTCGAGAATCGATTTCTAAGAGTTGCATGAGTTCTAATAGGAAACTTCTTTATATTATTTTCGATGTTTTTAATAAATTCGATCGTTACTTTGTCTTTCTTTAATCCCGGAAGGCTAAAATTCTCACCGAGTTGTAGAAGACCTTGAATATCTGTAGGGATATCAGTGGATGACAAATTAACGAACCACCCATCATTTAGTTGCATTAAGGAAGGTATCGGCGTGGTAAAAGATTTCGGATCTATGTTTATTGCAATTTTTTGGCCAGAGCGGTTGAAAAAAGGCACTAACGAGTATGTTACATTATTATTGTCAAGGACCCGGTGTTCCGATGAAATGTTACAAAAATATTCAATCGGTCTAATGTTTTTCCGTTGGTTCATGTGTTTGAAATATAAAAATTCAAATTTCTTGTTTATCTTATTTTTTGAGCTCTCACAGAAGGAATGCAGTGACCACTCTTGTCTGTTAAAGAAGGAGTTGCAGACGGATGCTGGAATACACCGATACATCGCTCCAGAAACTCTATAAACCTGCGTACGTGCAAAGCGAGCACTAAATGTGTCACATTGTTTTGAGCCTTTCGACTCACGAGACTCCTAGAGATATCATTGCCACCTTTGACTAGAGAGGATACGGCCTTAGAGGCGTTCAGGCATAATCCCACGGATGGTAGCTTCGCACCACCGGCCGCTCGACCGAGTGCGTGAACCAAATGTCCGAACCTGCGGTTCCTCTCGTACTGAGCAGGATTACTATCGCAATGACTGGTCATCAGTAGGGTAAAACTAACCTGTCTCACGACGGTCTAATTGTAATGATTGTGAGGCTTCCTATGTCGGTCAAACAGGGAGACAACTTTTAACGAGAGTTAAAGAACATAACTCGCATATCAGAAGGAGTGGTGCGGGCCATTCGGTCTTAACAGACCACAGATTGCAGTATAACCATGACTTTAACTGGAAAGACGTGGAAATATTAGACCGAGAACCGTCCCTTAGTAAACGCTTAATATCAGAAATGATTTACATAAAAAGGCAAAGAGAAGGTTTAAATTTGCAGACGGATACAGAAGATATACCAGAGATATATATTAGTGCTATCGAGGGACTTGTTAAAGTTTAGAATTATTGTTGTTACGCGGACTTGTTTTATATTATGCGTGACCTTTCCCCCCGCTTCTTTATACCGTCGATATCTTGTATAAGACAAGCGTGCCATTCTCTGTGTGAGCGTCCTCTGAGACACACCGATTCCTGCAATTGATTGACGTGGCGTTGCGACTTGACTATTGTCCAGTATGTCAAACCTGTGAGTTACCCGTTTGATACCATTTTGTTATCTATTTTGTTATCTATTGTGTTCCTGTATGAATATTGAGAGAGGACGGCACTCCGAATTTGTCCACAGGCGTTGCGTCACAATGACAAAGACAGTACATCCGTTTGAAAATTTCCTGGCGCTCCAACCAGGAAACTTCTATGCGACGAATTTCTGGAACGCGTCGGAGTGCACATCCAACTGACCAGCGATGATTTGTTGTTTACGGCGGTAGAATCTGTATGTATGTTTGCGACGATAATTTTTATATGTATGATATACGCTGAGGAGGACCCCAAAGAAGGGTCGAAACGTTCGTTCGTTCGTTAATTGACTTCGGTATTTGTGACTGTAGATAATAAAGTTTAGCGTTTTAACGACACGCTTGTGCTCTTATTGCCCGTTTAAGGTTTTTCTTTTA